TTGTCACAGCCCCTCGTTTGTTGTCCTCTTCTCCCTCTCTGCCTACGGTTTACCGGGCAGTTCTATTTGACGATATATATGAGTCGGTGAAACTCTGACGAAACAGTTTGCACAGCTTTTTTTTTTTTTTTTTTTTTTTGCTTGGTTTGCACAGTTTGTCACAGCCCCTCATTTTAATCAATTGATCAAAAGGGCGTCGTGCGGTGCAGGGGAAGGGTTCGGTCAGGGGCAGGATACGGACCGGTCGTGTGTGAGAGGTGGAGAAGTTGGAGGACCGGTCGGTTTCGGTGGTGGTGGTCGCAGTTCACTTTCCTTTTCGGGAGGAGGTCTTTTGGACACCGGATACGCAGGATTTTTTTTCGGGGGGCTCGCCCTCGTCCGTTTTGGCGTGTGGGTCTCTCGAAGAAGGGTCTTTTTTCGGTTATTCGGGTTCATGTATGAATGTGGGCGTCATGAACATCCACATTCATACGTTCGTTCCAACGACAATTTCTGTGGATGTGACTGCGGGGGTGTGACTGCGGGCCATTGCACGCAGAGTGTAGCGTCGTCGTCGTCGTCTGTTCCGAGAACGCAGGGAGTGATGCGCAGCGTGGGTGAGCGACTGGGGGGATGATGATGCAGCGCCGTCGTTCTCGTGGCAGTCCAATCACGCAGGAAGTCGTCGTCGCTGTCATCAGGGTGCCGCCGATTGGTTTTGGGAAGCAGGCAGGGTGTGCAGGTGGTATACGTGGCAGCTGGAGAAAGAACGGTGGATATGGCAGCAGGGATTACCGGTAGGGCCTTAGTTGCACTACTCGCCATCTGCCAAGATTTCGAATGCATCTGGACAAAATGATGTCCACATGCAATCAAAATGTCGGTAGGGCCCTAGTTGCACNTAGTTGCACTACTCGCCATCTGCCAAGATTTCGAATGCATCTGGACAAAATGATGTCCACATGCAATCAAAATGTCGGTAGGGCCCTAGTTGCACTACTCGCCATCTGCCAAGATTTCGAATGCATCTGGACAAAATGATGTCCACATGCAATCAAAATGTTGGCGGATGGCGAGTAGTGCGACGAGGCCTTACAACTGTGCAGCTGCAACCTGCCACAATTTGGAGGCACACCTCGTCGGGGAACGATGATGTTCTGGGTGGCAGGCTGGAGGCGGGATGTCGAAGCAGGGCGCCTGTGCTGGCAGGGATTGGAACTGTCCAGCTCCAGCCTTCAATGTAGAGATGGCTGATGTTTGTCGTATATAAAGAAAGGAGGTAAATATTTGTTTGTGTGTTTGTATGTGTGTCTGTATATGTATGTACGTGTGTGTGTATGTGAGAGAGAGAGAGAGAGAGAGAGAGAGAGAGAGAGAGCATCGGGACACGTTATCCATCCATTCGCCCACCAGGTGTGTGAACATGTTCTCCCCTCCCTCCCTCCCTCCCTCCTTCCCTCCCTCCCTCCCTCCTTCCTTCCTTCCTTCCTTCCGAGAGCCGCCGTGACAGCTATGTACTTAACTACTCATCGTCCCTCTCTCGTGGTATTCAGGGGGAGGCTGGTAGTCATTCTACTGGAAATCTGCTCTTCATTTGCTCCCCCTCCTCCTCCTCGTCCTCCACCTCATCCTCACCCTCTTCCTCCTTTCTGCTCCTGCTCCGCTTCCTCCTCTTCCTCTTCCTCCTCTTGCGCGTCTTCCTCTTCTTCCTCTTCCTTCTCAATCTCTCCTCCATGCCGTCTGCAGACTGCTGACGGTTCACAATAGCGGGCGGAAGGGGGCAAAACCCTTCTCATCACCTCTGGCCGACCTCCCCCGCACACCCTTCGCTCCGCCGCCACTCTCCTCTACTGATTGATGAGTCAGTTGGTGGAACACCGCGACGAAACAGTTTCTCACAGGCGCTCGGATGGTGAAACTTCGACGAAACTTCGACGAAACTTCTTTCTCACGCGAGGTGTCGAAATGTTGGGAGGCGGTGGTTGAACAGAAGAGAGGAGAGTGGCGGCGGAGCGAAGGGTGTGCGGGGGAGGTCGGCCAGAGGTGATGAGAAGGGTTTTGCCCCCTTCCCCCCGCTATTTTGAAGGCTTTTTTGTTTTTTTTTGGGAGGGGGGGGGTGGGCGGGTTCGTTTATGGCAAGTTCTCGTAGTAAGAGCCCACGTGTGTGGAGTGGAACGTAAAGTAAAAAAAAACAAAAAAAAACGCCACGTGTCGCGCACGAGGCGGCGCGCAGCATGTGCTATTGTGAGGGGGAGATGGTCACTACGTCGCTCTGTTGACATGACGACGTTTCCCTATCGCGTCCCACCTCCTCACCACACTCCTCCTC